GGTGCCGCGGGAGGGAGGGGAGGGGTGTGCCGGCTCTCCTAAGCGGATCCGATAAGGTTTGAAGGCACTCGTACGATATCGCGGCGGAGGAAGCGGAATTAGTGGAGCGAATTTCCTCCCCGAAGGCCAACCGTTCGTAGTTCCTTCCTCGCGATGGGGATTCCCCTAAAGCCCTTACGTGAAGTTTCATGTAAGGGCACCTGCCGCTGTACGCGTTACTTCCACGCGAACAATTACGTAACTAAATGACTGGATTGCGTAAACAAATAACTGAATGACGTCGACGTGAGCAGAGTGACTCTCGGCCAAGTGCGGACGGTCGCGAATTTACCATCTAATTCATCATCGTCCATAAGTGACCGAAAAATCAATATTGTGTTTCAGCGATATTAAAAAGATCCCCTATATTTTCACCACTTGACTTTTCTCACAACAAATGTCCAGTTTGATCAGTGACCGGAAAATCAATATTATGTTTCAGCGATATTAAAAAGATCCCCTATATTTTCACCGCTTGACTTTTCTCACAACAAATGTCCGGTTTGATTTTATCTTCGAAACAATTTCATTCCGATGAAATAAAATTACTTCGATGAAATAAAATTCTGATTTTCTTAGTCGCCGTATCTGATCAGCGGTCCCGAATTTGAACAACTTCGACCTCATGTTCGTAAACAATGGCGTCCAAAAGCCGAAGGATACAATTTTTTGATGGCATTGCTCAAAACTGTTGGAGATTCATTTCTCGCCAGCTCGAGCGCTCCTGCGAAACTGTCAGCTTGCCAGTCAAACGGTCGATTCAGTTCAAGGGACACACTTGAGACGAACAACATTTCAAGGAGTTGATCCAACGCGTTCTTTGTCCGGACAATTAATCGCGTCGATCGTGCCATTAGGCGGGTTGAATCATAGTTCCGGCGCAGCGTTCGGATTGAATCGCTAGATTATCGGTAATCAAGCGGCTCGGGTTATCGCGTGGCCACGAATCAAGGGAGAACCGATAAGTGCCTTACAGCGGTGGCCGATCGCGCAGGATTACGGTACCGGTGGTAACACTAAGAGCGGCATCTGGTTTTGCGCATAATGGCCGCATAATGGCTGCGTACAGTTAATTCGACCGGCCGCTCGCTCGAAAATCCTTCACGGCCAGTGAATGCGTCTCATGATTACACGCGTTTCACTCGGACACAAAACAGTCGCGCAGACACGCTGCGTCTCGTGTCTAATCATCTCGAATCGCTTGCTTCCCGGCATCGAAAGCGCGCACACACCTTCGCCGGTGGGTCACAGGTAGACGAGGATGCGCGCGACGTCATCGGTTGTCCGGAGATCCCGCCGGCATCGTTCGCTGACGCAAGTAGCGTCCTATAATTTTTAAATTCGTCAAATTCAGAAGAGGAGCGACTGAGTTTTCTTTTCAAAAATATGCCTGCAAATCCTGGAATAAAGATGAGATTTTTTATTGTCTTTGTATCTATCTTCCTATAATTTTGAAATCGCCAAATTCGGAAGAGAAATGACTGAGTTTTTCGTTTTTCAAGAAACATAAACGTGTCGATCGCGTGACGAGATCTCCTCGTGAAATTTCCTCGTTAAATTAGATATTTACTCACAGCGACGTTCCTTTCACACACATCTTTTTGATAATACTTAAATTAAAAAGAAAAAAAAACATTGGTCACATTTAAAAACACACATACGTGTGTTAGTGTCGCTAAGGAGATTAAACGTGATTAAACGTCTCCATTCTACGTTCACGCACGTTAAAACCTCCGCTACTACGTGTCGAGTAAGAAATAGACACAAACTCTTCGCATATCTACATTTAATTGACGAGATAAGGGAGAAGTCAAAAATAAACAACTGAGACGTCGCTTTATGACTCGTTCGGTTAAACGCGACTTACCTTTTTCGCATCCCCAGAGGGTGCGAGCACTCCCAGTTGGGAACCTTTGCTCTAGAAGATATACACTTTCATAACTTGGAACAAGTCCCAAAAATTTGTGGAAAATTGGATCAACTCCGAAAGAGAATTTTTTTATTATCGCGGAATTCATCTCTTGCCAGAAAGATGGGAAAAAGTTGTAGAAAACGAAAGAAAATATTTTGACTAACATATTCGTACATTATCTTGTTTAAATAAATCAGTTTTTGAGTAGAAACCTAGAATCACAATCAAAACTAAATCATACTCCTAATATACACAGTTGATCGAATCGAACTTGAATTTGCGTACAAAGGGAGGCAGATATAATGCCATATATCTGAAATTAACGTTAAAGCGACGACATCGAAAGTCACACACAATGGTTGGCCCGGCGGTTCCTGCTTCAACTACAAGGAAGAAAGTCGGCGGTGAGACCGATAATTGGTCCAGCTACACCGACAGGAAACTGGAGCAAAGTGAAAAAACATCCGATGACATATTAAAGTCGCATTAGATGGACTAGGTAGCAAAGCGGAACCGGCCGGATCCGGTCCATTAGTTTCCACGCGTGTATTACGTGCCAAAAGAGCCGACAGTGAATTTTCACGCGGCTCCTCTTCCGATCCCGTTTTGTGAGAGAAATCTACCGAGACCTCGCGCGCTCCTGTAATCGCTAATAAATGACAGGTTCCGCTGCTGGGAGACATCGAAACGCATCGCGCGTGCATCGCGCACACAGCCAGATAAAGAAGCGCGTTTCTCTTTCGTCATAATATATAACCAACGTTTCTCTTCAACCGCAAACAGTGTCTGATTGCTGAAATATTATATTACGAATTAAAATTTAAAATTAAAAAATTCGCGGATTAAGCTGCAAAAACACAAGTAGATAACAAGCCTTTATACGCTTTTTCTAATTTTATGTTGATTCTGTTGTAGAGTGTCTCTTAACCCTTTCACTGTTAGTGGGAAATATACTTCCCACCTTTTCTTGATTCAATTTTGCGTTGTAAATCACATAATTTTGAGGAACTAATCGGGGATTTAAGTTTTCCAGATAACTGAATAGTTGTTCAACATACTCCAATAGGTTTTTATATCAAATTATTCATTTGTGATTATTTATAACAAATCAAAGTTGGAAAAAAATGCTTTTTTTAGGGAAAAATCGATTCCTCGGAGAGTATTGAATGTAGAGGTCTGAAATTTTCACCAAATATTTTTCTGATGTTGTACAAAAACATATATTTTTTTCAATATTTTTTGCAAGTTAGATTTTTTTTATAAACAAATATTTCTACTAAAACGGCCGAAATTTGATTTCTTGTTTTTTTAGCTCTATTTTCCTAGTTTTTTCATTCTGTATTTCCATCTTATCCATACTATCAATATTATTTTACTATAAAATGAATGTTTAATCTCTAGTAAGTATAAATATGCAGTATTGAACATTTTCCCACATAAACTTTTTCCAGCTCGATCGAGTTCCATCGTCTAGAATCGTATATTCTTATTACGACCTGGTCATTATTTAATAATAATTGGAATTTTCATTAATTTTGTATATCATGATCGCCATATTGAGTCCGCCATTTTGAATTTTGCAAATCTGACTTTAGATTCATAACCAGCGACCCAAAAAACGTAGGACTACCAAATATTTTAATAATTTTCTCAAGGGAAGTTAATTCAGCAGTGAAAGGGTTAATAAAAAAACTCTGTGTTTACGGAAATATTACATTATAAATAAAAAAATTCTCAAATTAAACTGCAGAGACACAATAGATAATAAGTCCGTGTATACTTTTATTTTTATTTTACATTAACTTTGTTATTGTAAAAAAATATTTCTTAATAAAAAAATTTGTTAATGAAAAAGGAATCTATTTTTACAGAAATCCGTTATATCACAAATTAATTTTTTAATTAAGTTTAATTAATTTTATATTGACTTTGCTGTAAAGCAGGATCAAAGTCGAAAATTGAAAAATCTTGCTGAATGCAAAGTCGAAGTATTAAGTTCATACTGTAAGGATCATTCATTCAAGATAATAATTATATAGTTCCTTTCGAGAGCGAAAATGTGAAAATTAAGAGTTTCACGCGACCTCAACGCAGCAATGAAAATATGAAACTTCATTTTCCAAAAAATCGCACAGTTATCAATATAAAATTAAAAAGATAAAACTAATTAATTAAAATTAATTTAAAAAATAATTTATTAACGCAATTCTGTAAAAACAGACATTTTTTATCAAGAAATTTTTGTCAAGAAATACTTCTTTGTCGACAACACAATTGTCACCCAGAGGACAACAAAGGGACACGCGCGGAAGGAGGAACAAGGACGCGCTGAAATAAAAAAGAAAACGAGACACACTACTACGCCGTCTACTTATTATACGACACATCGAACGCGCGAGAGATCGGCCGCTTCGCATAACCGCTCCCCGATTAGTCCGACGTCCCGGCGCATCGGCTTGATTGATCGTCCCTCGGCCGCACGTACACGTCCCGCACGGGTTTTATGAAGATATTAACGTACGGTCGTTTTCGGTAAGCGAGAACGGCCGCGCCGTACGTAAGACAGCGCAAAAAGGAGCAGCAGGTCCGTGCCGGTTTTGGCGCTGTCTAAGACGCCTGAGCCGACGATCGTACGACCGATAACCCGGTTAACCCCACCAGCCTGTTATTATAATATTTGCCGAGCCGAAATATAGTGATTGCTTATTTGCTCGGGCCCAATTACAGCAACGTCCGCGCCCGCGCTCGCTCGCTCGCTCGCGCCCGCGCGCTCGCGGCCGACCTGCGGAGAAGGGCCCGCGTCCTACGTGACGAGACCAAGGGGAATAGGTACGAGAGGAGGTGCACTTAGTCCTGAATGAGCCGACCACTCACCCCTGCAAGCCCCGTATCCTATCTGCCTACCTGCCTCGACCGCGTCGGCGACGCTGTAACGATTAGGTTCGCACGATCAGATACTGCCGAGACCCGGGCGTAATGTCTATTATTGCCCGCGGCGAACGCGTTACGTCCAATGCTTCAGCGATATCGGCGGCTTTCCGTGAAAAATCGCGCGTTTCCCTGCTCGTTAGCGCACCCGGCCGTAATAAGAAGCGGAACGAGGCGTGAGGAGATCGTCGACGAGGCCTCCGTGGTCCCCCGGTCGCTACGAAATCGCGATAATCGATCGTCTCTTCTCTTGTTCCTGTGTGTATTTCCTTTTCAAGTGGAATATATACAGTATGTGTGCTCGTTGATAAATGACGAGTACATTTAGTACGCTGTATGAATTATAAAATGATTCACATTGCACAGTCATATTTTCAAGAACACAATGCGTAAAAATAAGACTTGAATTCTCTTCAAGATGAGCGCACAACGAAGTAGGAAGAAGACGAGGGTTCCTTCGTTCGCTCACGGCTTCCACAGCTTCAGGAGACCATCCTCGCTGTAAGAGCATAGCAGATTCTGATGGGGATGATGCGCCAGGCCAATCACGTCCTTTTCGTGTATCTGCGAAGGAGCGGAGAATGCAGCTGAGTCAATATGCATTCACACGAGCGTGAGATTGCGATGAGATGTAGGAAGTACTCACATTCAGAGTTCTCTCGAGTTTGCCCGACGACGTGGAGAAGCAGTACAACACGAGATCCTCGCCGACACAGTAGATAAATTCGCCGCGTGGGCTCACCACCGTGCACACGAAATCACCTCCCTCTCGTTTACCGCTGGAGAACGACCTGACGATTTGTCCCTGCATATTCATGATCACCACCGTATTGGAACGATTGCATACGACAAAGTGCTCCGGATTGCGCGGCAGGGAATGTATGCTGTTCACCGTGAGGTCAGCGGCACCCAACGACTTGTAAGTGCCTATACACTCGGTGGTCTTCAAGCTCCAAATTTTCACAGTTCCATCCGACGAAGCGCTACAAAGTGAAATCGATAGGACATTGAGAATAGTGCCGATTACTGCTGTTAAAAATCAAGGTTATTCTCTGTTTAGAAAAATGCTCTTAATCATACCTGATTAGGTTGTGCCCATCTGGAGAAAAGACTACTTCATTTACGAACGAGCCGTGACCTCTAAATTCTTTGAGAGTCTTTCCTGATTTGAGCCCATGTATCCTGCGGAACAAATGTTAACAATATTATATCTATCATTCGAGTATTCTTGTCAATGTAAGGATTCTCACTGTCTGTCTAAACAATGACAGGCAGAAATCTGTTAACTTTGTCGAAGAACTTTTTTTTTAATAAGATTGATTGAGATGACGGTAACGGCTATTGCGAATATTCTAATCCAAAAATATTGACAAAAGATTGTGGTCTGCCTAGATCGATAGTGAGAATTCAGCTTAATTTCTTTTCTTTTGCTTTACCTTATGGTAGTGTCAAAAGAGGCAGATAAAATTTGGCTATTATCTCTGCTAAATTGTAGACAGGTTACGCCTTTCGAATGCGCCTTTTCGAATCTTCTCAAGCACTGTCCGCTTTGCACTCTCCAGACTTTAATCTTGCCATCCTGACCGCCGCCTGCCAACATCTCACTGTCGCGACTAAACGACATTGACAATACCGCTTGCTCCATCATCATAAAGTTGTCCTGCGCCTGATACTTCAAGTCTTTCCTGATTTTACCAGTCGTGAAGTTCCATACTTCAATAAAACCATCCACCGATCCAGTTACCAGGTACTGACCGTCAGGTGAGAAACGCGCACACTCCACATGCGACTTTTGCCCAAATTTGATTTGCTTCGATAGCTGCGTCGGGTACTTCTCGTCTTCCTGATCACGAACTGCCGCTTTTCCTCGAAACAAATCTATCGTGGTTCCTGGTGGCAACAGACCCTGATGTTGCTGCCACTTCAATGCTTGTCCCAGCAAGGCCAATAATCTACTAGAGGGTACCACAGACACTTCACCTGCGAGAGCAGTAGCTATGTATGCTCTGCGTTTTTCTTTTGTACTTCCATCAGGATATGCCTCGCGTGGGTCAAAGTATGAACGTGCAAGTAGATTTTCTGTAGAATGTGATATATTAAAGTATGAAGTTAATATATAATAAGAAAATACTGTAAATTGTAACATACCTAAATGAATGTATCTTTCAGGCTCTTGCTGCTTCATCATAATCATGGGATCAGTTTGTCTTAATAAAGAACGTGCTGCTCCTAATTCACGTAACTCAATTAACTCTAGAACCACCTGAGATAAAATAAATTTATAAATGTCATTTCATGAAAGAGAATATAACAGCCTTTTCACAATATTTTACAAATTAAATCTTTAATAAAATATATATTCTATACATGATGATTTTTTATTTGATATAGTTACTTGTTCATATAAGTCTATAAGTTTCTTGTCAGGTAATTTTAATGATTGTATCGCTTTTAAAACTGTGTCCCAGTGGCCATTATTTATATCAGCGACAAATCCATCCACACTGTCAACTGTATTCAAGGATACACCTGTCTCTTCCTATTTGTAAGAAACATTGATACAAAGTTGAATATACATATTGACAATATGTCAAATAAAAATTAAACAAACCTGCAGAGTTTGTAGTGTCTTCACAAGATTTGACTCCTTAAGATACTGCTGTATCAATCGAATCACACTGAAACATAGTAAAGTTATCATATAATACAATTTATCGTTATTAGATAATTATATTATTGCAATAATTAAATAATTAACTGGTATAATTTCACTCACTCGGCGGATTCAATTTCGATCGACATTTTAAAATATTTCTTATTTCATATACACAAACCAACCACTGATTATAACCTAATAGCTGTTCAATATTTGGTGATTGAACTGACTGTGCATTCCTATTATAAATAAACAAACTCAATGTTAATAAAAACAAACATAATTGTACAATTTGCCTTCAAACTGATATCAAGCAAATTAAGAATGACCATATATCAACAGGAACAATTTTGTTCCGTTTTGTGCTTATATCATAGACATAGGAATATAGAGACAGAGCATAAGCCCATAAGATAGGCGAGGGGAGTTGTGCTGAAATGCGAGGGGCGACTGTGCCTAAGTTTGATTGGCTACAATAGTGCCCATATTCAGAGCGTGTGATGCAACGACTTGGCTGTCACTGGCAAATAGTAAATGTAACAAAATGATAACAACTATTTGCACTGACAGTATTTTGCAGAGGTTATGATGCATGTGTCTTTTTTTTCATAATTTCACTCACACACAACTTCATACACATCTATGTATGTATCAAATACTTACATACGGCACAACCACCAATTAGATTTAGGCACAATTTACCTCCTCGCACCGTCCCGTAATAGTTCCGCAATCTTACCGCAACTCTATGCTCTGTCCCTATATTCCTATGTCTATGGCTTATATTGGCCATTAAGGCCCAGTTCCACAACTTGCTTTAAACTCCATTTAAAGCAAGTTGTGGACTGGGCCTAAATGGAGAGGGAAATAGGAATATAGGGTTATTCTTTCTAGCAGCATCGAGACTGCACCAGCTGTACTGTAGGGCTGCGTTCCGTTTCACGCATCGAGCGCATCGATCGCAACCAATGCATTGCGCGCATTGATATCGTTCCGTTTTCGTTAATGCGTCTATGCGCTTTTGGAAACAGAACGACTTTTGATGCGTTTGATGTGAAAGGAAAAATGGATGCTACTATGGTCACAATGGACATCGAAACATTGACAACAATAGCCTTATTTTCATTAGTGAATGATGACAACAGAATTAGTAGCAGTAGTAGCAGTAGTAGTAGTGAGTCTATATTTTATCAAGAAATCTTGATCTGTAGAAAAATATTCACACACATGCATTAATTTAAAAATACAATTGAATTGTTTCTAAAATTTAAAAATTTCAATTTTACCTTTCGATGTTCTTAACGCGATCTCTTTTTCGAGAAACATAGTGATCATTTCGTTATCCACTAAGGCCCAGTTTTACAACTTGCTTTAAACGGAGTTTAAAGCAAGTTGTGGAACTGGGCCTAATACGGGGAATTCAACTTTGTCGACTTTGTCCATTGTACGTATTTGTGATTATCTGTATGTTTAAAATCAAAAAATATCGGTACGTTAAATATATCAGTCGTCACGTCACGTTGTCAGTATTTAAATAGGGTTATATAAAAGATTATAAATACTAATCTGCGCATGCCCGCATCAACTGCTTCTAGTCCGAGCTGTAGTAGCTGATGCGCGCTTAATGCGATAGAGGTGGGGGGATTCTAGGGAATTCTATACGCCACCAATGCACGCATTAGCTAAAACGGAACGGTTCTGTACCGCGATTCTGTAACTCGTTATTGGAGTTAACGACACTTTCGTTATCGTTGCGCAGCTTTTGTATACCGTAGAAAAGCTGCGCAACAATAACGAAACTGTCGTTAACTCCAATAACGAGTTACAGAATCGCAGCACTGGGTACCTAATGGAACTCGTCGGAATCGATTCCAATGGGAATAATTTCGTTTCCCCTAGAAAAGACAATAGAAATCTAAGAAATAACGGAATAAATTCGATCGGAATCGATTCCGATGAGTTCCATAATAGGTACCCTGGATGCAGTTAATGCGCTCGATGTGTGAAACGGAATGGACCCTGGGTGTTTGCAACTTATTCTGGACCGGCCTTAAAGCACTTCCGCACTCCGCACTTCCTCACTCTGCACTCCGCGGGAGGGAATAGCCTCCAACAGCTGAATTCTGTCACTCGTTATTGGAGTTAATGACATTTTCGTTATCGTTGCGCAGCTTTTCTACGGTATATAAAAGCTGCGCAACGATAATGAAAATGTCGTTAAATCCAATAACTTTTTAACTTAACTGTAACTTCTTAACGATAACGACACTGTCGTTATGCAAGTATAATATATGGCAGAAAAGATACACAACGACACATCATGTTACTGATATTATCGTTAAGAAGTTACAAAATCCTGCTTCTGGAAGGAAGATACGACACGCGGAAATAGAGAGACGAATATGAATTTTTCTCCTTAGTATGAAGTGGAAATCGAAAGTTTTCCAATTTCAAAAAATTTAAAAATATTCACTTTTCATAGTTTACAATAGAAGTTTACAAGAAGTTTACAGAAGAAGAGATTCATAATCGTCTTTCTGACGGAAAATATATTTTAATATAAAACGATAATAATGTAATATCTTTGAGAACTAGAATAGTCTTTGGTAAAATGCTCCTTGGACAGCTTCATTGTTATTATTTATGTGGAAATTGCAGTAAATTAAATTACTTTGAATTTATATTCATTTTCAATTTTCATTCTTGAGATAGTCCTTTTGATTCAGTTAATAAGAATAAAATGTTTAGAATAAGTTTTGAGTTAACTCTACCAACGCGATAATATCGATTAACTATATGTCATTTTCGACAGATGGTGTTGCAGTCGTTGTGTGCCAGATTCTCCTCTGCCTAATTTTCTTTGGTTAGTGCAGCGTCAATAATACATAAACTACCCAAATAAAATGCGGCTATTTAAAATCTGCTCGTCGACAATGTGAGAGTGACGATCTTTCCTCGGGCCGTGAGTACATTGTGATGTTCGTTTTCTGTGCATACTTGTTACTAATTTTATAATAACGAAAAATAATACTTATCTACTCACAATATTTTTATCTTAAAATAACATTTTGTTACATCTTTCTTATATGTTCTGTTTATCGCGTTTATCTTAATAATAAAATTATTAAAAATAATTATATAATTTATAAATAAACATTAGAACTTTTTCATATCAGTGATATAAGTTTTCAACCATTTGTAATCTTGAGATTTAAATTCTTACATTTTTCAGGTAAGAGGCCATTCTTCCGTAATCATGACAGCCATCTTTCTGTTTGTAATTTTGCTTCAAACCTGGAGCAGTACAAGTCAACTATGTCCTCAATATTGTTCATGCAAACCAGTTGGTGCTCAAGCTGAATGGCTGCGTCTTAAATGTGGTGATCGTTTACAAGAAATCAAGGATGTGGATATAGATAGAGTTAGCGTAGAACTTATACAATTGTAAGACTATCATACATCTTTTATTAATATTCTGAGTGACAAGGATTTAATAATAACTTTATTAATTGCAGAGATTTGAGCAAAAATGCCATTTATATCATTCAACCAGATACATTTGTGAACCTAACAAATCTTAAAAGACTTGATTTGTCCAAAAACAAAATTAGCTTTGTAGGCGAGGGTTGTTTCAATGGCCTTGAAAATTTGGAAAGACTGTAAGAACTTTAAACATTTGCCTACAAATTTTTTCTTCAATATCCTAATTTTATAATAATTGGGATTTTTCAGAGATTTAAGTCAGAACCAGATATCAGCTATAGACAGTTATGCATTCAAAAAATTGTCAAACCTCAAACGTCTGTAAGTCTCGATATTGTAAACAGTTGTGTATAAATGTTTTTTATAAAGATATTTCTTTTTATCGTATATATTCTTTGCTTCGTTGCTAGCGATTTGTCTGGAAATAAAATAACAGCTCTGGCGCCATCCTTATTTCATGATTTGCTGGCCTTAGATCGCTTGTAAGTTAAAGTATTCTTTATTTACGCCAATATATATTAGCTTTGATATTGTCTTATTCTAATTTTACATCATTATATGAAAACATATGCTATGCTATTGTATCTATAAATTTTAGGAAACTAAGTGGAAACAGTTTAACCACCTTAATAGAAGGAACATTCCATGGACTTAGAATGTTAAAGCAGCTGTGAGTAATCCAGTTTGTACATCTTTCCCATTATAAATAAATTACAAGAACAAAATAAAATGATTATATAAAATTAACAATACGTTTCATATTTCAGGGACCTGTCTAATAATCCTTGGAAATGCAATTGCGACCTATATTGGTTTAGTAATTGGATCTATAATTCTTCGATTAAATTAAAGTAATGTATAACGTAATTATTTATCATTTGCTTGTGTTTAGATGGTAGACAAAATCTTTTATATCAATATAAAAAGAAATAACTACGTTACTATTTCTGTTATAAACGAGAAAAATTAATACTAATTTACCTTGTGATATGTTGCTTTCTAACTCTGGCTTCATATTCTGCTTGATGTTTCAGTCCGCCGCCAAAGTGCGTGTCGCCGGAGTATGCTGCAGGACAGCCGCTGAAGAAGATAAAATTCTTGGAGGAATTGCAGTGTCAGTGGATATCACCGGCGGTCGAAATTCGACCGGTTCAGAATCAGGTAGTTTTCGCCGGTGATTCGATTACTTTGAAATGCAGGGCGCCCAGCATTACGATAGACAAGAGCGCCAGGCTGAACTGGCTGTGGTATCCTAACGCATCCGCTGAGATCATGGATCTGAGTGCTTACAAGGATCCGCGAACGAATTTGCCTAATATCAAGGTGGACAACAGATATCTTTCGGACAGCGGCATCGTAGACAGGTAACGTAGGTTTTCTCGGACCTAAGGTGAAAAGAATTATCCCAACGTTGGCAAGTACATCCTCTCTTTTCAGCGCCCTCAGTATAGTCCCGGTCAAAGAGGAGCATAACGGACAATGGAATTGCTTATTGGTTTCCGTGAACGGTAACAAGTCGAAAGCAGTCAGCGTGATTGTCATATCCGAGCATACCCGATATTGTCCTCTAGCGGGTAAAGACCTGTGTTCCTCCCTCTTATTTCTTTTTTATAATAACTAACTTTCTTTTCCTCTCACTTCTTTCTTCTTGCCTTTCTTACTTCATCTTTATTACTTATCTCTTTTTTATTTTTCATTCACTCTCTTGCCTCCTCTCCTTGCTTATATAACCATTTCGCTCTCTTTCCATCTTGTCTTCTTTTAAATAAATTTAAATAATTAAAATTAATATTAGTAATAATTTTTATACATGTATACTATAGTATATTATATATTAAAAATTAACGCAAGTAAAAGTACATAAGTAAAAACTAATATATTAATAATCGCCTGCAAGAGAAAAAACAGCGTTTTCATGTTCACTGATTGCTTTCAGTGACTAAGAACAACAAAGGTGTCTATACGTGGCCGAAAACAATAGTGGGATGGAAAGCGGAATTACCGTGCGAAGGGAATCGTCTGTCAGGCCTGATGCAAGCGCCGTTGAAAGCTTCTTATCATTGCAACGTGAGTGGCCAATGGGAATTCCTTAACACAGAGTCGTGCCCATACATATCTCACACAACGAAGATCCTCGAGCAATTCTCGAAGGTGAATCTGTCCCTGACGAAGGGAAGTCTGCTGGAGACGGCAAAGAGGTTCAAGAACTACACGGGGAACGGCTCGGTGAAGCTGACGGACCCGGTCGAGATCAATTTCATCGTACGAACGATCGAGAACTACTTGAGCTTCTTGGTGGATGAAAAGGAACTTGGCGCGATGTTGGTCGACATCATCAGCTCAATGATGAGACTGTCGAAGGAGATGCTGAGGCGGGCCGAGGTGAATTTCAAAGCCTGCACGAGGCTGATCAGAGCGATCGAGCGCATAACGGAATTCACGCCGTCCATACAGTCCCACAAGAAGCACATGGCGCTCGAGGAGTTCCGTGTGAAGCGCGACAGCTTCGGCGGCTTGACGTGCACATGGTACGCAAACGTTGCAGATACCGCGGACTCGGACGCGAGATTTCTGCATTGCACGACGATCAACCGAACGACGCCGATCAGCGCCAAGGACAAGACGATAGAGGCCTCTATCCAACTTCCTGCTTCGTTGCTACAACATTCGCTGGACGCTGCGGTGGCTTATCAGCTCATGATAGTCATGTACAGCGACAGCAGACTCTTTCCCAAGACAGTCGTCAACGACAGCATGGACATATCGACGTGCATCATCGGTAGTAAACTGAGTAAGCTGCAGACCATGAGACACGCGCGAAAGACTTCCGCTTTTCGCTGCCTTCGCGTTATATCATCTCTTTGTCTTCTTTATAGTTGGAACGTCGATACGAAACCTCTCGGAGCCGGTTTACGTGATGCTAAAGGCGCCACTGTATCATTACAACGGGAAAAGACCGAAACCGGTGGTGTGGGACGAGACGTTGAACAACGTGGGCGGTTGGACCAGCGACGGGTGTCACCTGACGAACTTGTTGAACAATCTGATAGTCTTCCAATGCGACCGATTGGGGTATTACGGGCTCTTGCAGGAAGTCTCACATATTGACATGGACGGTAACAGGTATGAGACTTCTGCTTCCCACAAATGCCTTCTATTCTACCCTCCGATATGGATTCTATTGTCTCAACTTGCAGCATGCACGGGGCGAAGTTCAGATATTCGCATCCGGCGATATACGTCGGCAGTTTCGTCACGATAACGTGCCTGATGATCATGTCCGTGACGTACATCATCTCCTACACGTCCATCACGATGCCCAAGAAGGCGAAGCATTCGGTCATCAACACCTGGTTCGCCATGGCGCTGTTGTCCTTCTTGTATAGCATCGGCATCCAACAGACAGAGCATATCGAGATCTGCCAGGGCGTTGGCCTTGCTCTGCATTACTTATCTCTGTGTTGTTTGTTATGGATGGCTGTGTCCGCCAGGTGAGTGAACGGGCCTCAAAACCCGTTTACACCGGCAATGACATCGCTGATAACGTGCTTTTGGCAGTGTTATCGACAGAGGTAGAACAAATTCCTGAAAGTGAATCATTTCCCGAAGAACATAGTTCTGCTAAAAAAAGAAAAAACATCTTCGCTGTTAGCTTCTTGCTTGTTTACATCATCTTCTTGGTTTGAAAGCAGGGAAAATCGTAAGGGAACGAGCCCAGCCACGTTAACCGAGGTCCCTCTATTTCAGCAATATGTATAAGAAATTGGCGAAACCCGGCCTCGACGTGATACCGGACGACGAACTTCCGGACCAGCCCATACCGAAGCCACTGTTGGGGCTGTACCTGGTCGGCTGGGGCGTCGCCTTGATCATCTGCGGGATATCCGGCGCGATAAACCTGCGCGAGTACGCCGGCTACTCGCACTGTTTCCTCACGTCTGCGGCGGCGCTAGCCGCGCTCTTCATACCATCCGGGATCCTGATCGCCTACTTGCTGATCTTCCTGCTGCTCATCAGACGCGCCATACAGAACGTCGACACGAACGCGCAGTTATCCGAGGGCACTCAGGCTACGGAGAACATGGACCTGGAGTTGCTGGAGCCGAACGTGAACCCGTCCGGCGATCGTAACAGCGTGCACAGCACGCAGACGGTCTCGTCTGACATGGAGGACCCGGAGCACTCGCAGTTTACCCAGTGGAAGGGTCAGATTGTCATGCTGATATTGTACTTGCTATGCTGGACCGACGCAGCCGCGGTCACGGTCAAGCCGTTCGACTCGTACGTGCCGTTCGCAGAGACCGTGTTCGCCGTGCTGTACGCGATAACCGCGAGCTCGCTCGGCGTGTTCGTGCTATTCTTCTACGGGCTCGCGCGCAATGACGTGCGCAGCCAGTGGCTGCGAATGCGCTGCTGGCTGGAGAAACGAAAGAACCGCTGCTGCCGCACGAGGAGCGTGTGTGACGCGAACGCGGCGATGCCGAACCAGCCGCTGGTGCAGAACTTCGTGCAGTCGTCGGCGTTGAACTCGAACTCGCAAGCCACCCAGCCGATATCTGACTCGAACTCTATCGCCTCGTCGAGAAACACTAACAGGTCGCGGATCTACAATGGGGCGAACTCGAAGCTCGCGGATCTGGCGGTGGTGAGCCGCGACGCTGTGGCCGCGGCCACGGCGAACGCGAAGACGGCGCCGGGGAACGTGAACCTGGTGGTGCTGCATCGTCAACAATACCGCTCCAACAACTCCGTCACTACGTACACTGAGCCGACTTCCGCCTGCGTTGAGATGTTCTACAACCCGCATCAGAGCGGCGTTGCTCGCAAGTTCTTCAAGAAGCAGCGCAGGCATACGAAGAAGAACAACCTCGGGCCGCGAAAGCAAGGTGACGGCGGAGCCACCAGCGACGGCGGTAGCTGCGTTTCCGTGCCGCGGCCCACCGTGAAGATCAACAACAGTCTGGAGCGCAGCATCCTCAGCAGCAGCGCTAAGGTCAACAACACCAACATACACGTCGAGCTGAACCCCATCAACGACATCAAGAACGTGAACATATTGTCGGACAGCGGCGGTAGCGTGTCCGAGGAGAGAAACATCCCGATACGCTTCGTCATTGGCCAGGAGAACCTGATGCGCAGCGTCAAGAAGATCAACAACGACAGCGCGCAACTGGAACATCCTGGTGACAACATCGCAATGTCCGACGCAGCGGCCGCGCGCGGCACACCGCAGTCGAAGCGGACTACGCAGGTAATGTGACGCGCGTTATCTTGTTGCTGAAGTTGTTTCTTCAAGGCAGCCAATGTTTCAAGATCAAATAATTATTCGACGGAAAATAACCACTCAAGGAGCTCTTTCCATTTGAAACGTCGTTTCTTAGATGATTTTCAAATTGTTTCTTTTTTTTTATAAGATGTAACGTGGACAATTTTGAGGTTTCGCAGAAATGTTTGTCCGTGTTTTAACTATTTGCAGTAATTTCTACACATTGTTATCTTAAGCATCGGTAAAGTTATTTACATAATTTTGTGCGGCGCTGAACAAAATTTTGACGTGCGTGGTTGCCGCGATTTCAGACTTTGCATAAATATTGATGGCTTACAAAATATCATAACTTTAAAGAGAAAAATCGATTTTTGGCCAATTTTCTTCAGCCTTGGAAGCCCTTGAAAAATCGAAATATTAAAAATATCGACTTCGTCGTGGTAGAAACGACAGCCAAAAGTTTACACTTAATTAATTTTGCGCCGCTTTAATCTCGGAAGCTTGTAGCATCCAGAATCGCGCGCGCAGGCAAAACTTTACGCACAGAATTATTATTATTTGTTATTAACATTGAAGATAACAGTGTATGGAAATTACTGCTTCTAATCAAATCGTGCAAAACCCCAGAATTGTTTATATACAGGGTGTCCCACGGGAAGTTGCTGAAACTAAACGATTAGTTCTCCCCTCTCCTCTAGAACGGTTCTTCAAATTAATGGTTGTCTGTCTGAGAGTAGTCACATGGAGTTTGAAATAGCGGAACGGAAGAGAAGCGGACGAGGCAAATAGTGGGGATTAACCAATCGGAATAATGGATTGTTGGACTAATTCTGTTCCATTGTTTTAAAACAGGCCTGTTCATTTTGTCTGCACTGCTGAACTGGTGCATTAAGTTAAAGGGCCAAAGCACAGACTTCTGTATAACGCATAATACACAACGCATAAGAGAATCAACCAATCAGAGTTCTTCATTTCTGTCCTGAGGAAGGAAATGAAGAAAACTAATTGGTTTATTCTTTTGTACGTTATGTATTATGCAAAAGCCTGTGCTCTTGCCCAAGGTGAGACAAACGTAGGTTTTCTCACTCCAACTTACTGCATCAGTTCAGCAGTGCAGACAAAACGAACAGGCCTAATGAAACGACGGAATGGAATTGCTCTGATTGATTAATCCTCAACATTTGCTTGTTCCATTTTTCTTCCGTTTTGCTATTTTGAGCTCCATGTGCATATCCGCAGGGTCCGCAATTTTATTTTGGTTGTAGTAGAGAAAGATTGGTGTGCGTCAAAATGAGTAATCTGACAACGCAAGAAAAAGGTTATCTTATCGAATGTTTCTTTGCCAGAGGAAAAATATATAGTAATGCTTATAGAGGGTTTCGTACTAAATACGGAACACATAAGGTTAAGAACGAAAACACACTGAAGAGGTTAGAATTTATTAATTATTTAAACTTGGGCGTTATGTCACTCCATTTTTTTTTGGCAATAAATGTGCATTAAAATAATGTTTTGTTTTTAACAGAATTATCGATAATTTTATACAATATGGAACTACCCAAGACCGTAGACACAATCTGCCAGGTCCTTCTGTGTCTGTAGCTATAGAAGAAAATATTGAACAAATTAAAAATTATTTTAAACAAAATCCAAGTGCTTCCATTCGGGAAGCTGCCCAAGTCCTTCAAATATCAAAAACAACAGTACACAGGATTTTAAAACAAGCAGCTCCTCGAAAAAAAATTCTTCCATGCACAAAAAGGAAGCCTGATCAGATTTTGTTTCATGCAAGATGGAGTGACTCTATATCGAAATCAGCAGGTCTTTGAAACAATCCATAAAGTTTATGACACCTGAGTCACTTTGGGATATTCCAAATTTGCCCAGAGAGAATTAGAATGGCCACTATATTCACTGGATTTAATTAAATCCATGTGACTTCTTTCTTTGAGGATACATTAAATCATTATGCCAAAAATCCAAAAACAGTGTTAGATTTAGTAGCAGCTGTTAAAAAGGTCATCAGTAATATTAAAGACAACATGCTAGAAAAAGTTTTTACAAGTTTTCGTAAAAGAATTGAGTTTTGTACAAATTTAGATGGTGCGCATTTTGAAAATATTTATCACTAGGTTATTTGATCGGCATATTTTTTATCATTTTTCATTAACAAAATAAATTATTACACTAACATTTTTTTTTATAACTATAATAAAAACTGCAGACTTTCTTCTTTTCAACGTAATTTTGGTTTTCGCAATAACTAAATATATTAAAAAATGACAGCTAATTAATTTCAACAACTTTTCATGGGACGTCCTGCAGTTTCTCCAAGGACAATCTCTTACACAAGATAACCTCTAAATCATCTTCAAGAACACCTAAATCGAGTGACTCGGTTGCCAAATAAAATACCGAATGAATAATGAAAAATGAAAAAAGATCAGAAAATAAGAAAGAATCAAAATAATCATTCAACTGTTAGCGAATAACTGACGCATCACGATATACCGCAGGACTCCGACGCGGACGTCAAGACCGACGAGGAGTGGCACCTGCGTAACGTGTCGCAGCAGTGCAGCCTGGAGTATAGCTCGGAGATGGACACGATGACGCAGATGACGAGCGAACGGAGCGATCACAATCTACCAGAGATCTGCGAAAGCGCGGCGGAGACAGGAGGCACGCGGGACGAGCGTATGAGATGCCCGAGCGAGCTCGAAGACGTAGCGTCAGACGCGGAGTGCCTGTCGCGGGCAGAGCTATCGGCGCGGTTGTACCTGTCTAACAGCATGTATTGCTTGTCATCCGAGTACACGAGACCGTTGACGAGCAGCTACTGCAACTCGTTGAATGACATCGCGTCGTTAGCGAGCGCGGCGAGGCATCGGTTACCAGTCGGCTACCCGAAGCAGCCATCGCTGGTGGACGTGCGGAGCAGCGCCACCAGCTCGAATCTCTGCGGACGGCTGCCGCAGTCGCGGGACTCTTTCGACCGCTCGGAGCGTTCGCTCTTCGAGATCAACAGCCTGGCCAGTGATCAGCAGCCCTCCGGCGACGCCCCGGAGACGCCTTATACCTGTTCCCTGGCGAACATCCACTGCGTCTCCGACAAGAGTCTGGAGGCGAACGACTCCGGTGCACAGGACCAGCCGCAGCAGCTGCCGCATGTGGGTCACGCGGCCGCGCTGGTCGAGGGGAAGGACCTCCTCGGGAAGAAGTTCAGTTCCTTGGCCGACATCGCATCCTCGATCGGCGGCCTGTACGATAGCAACGACCTCGACTCGCCGAGCAGCGAGGCCATGAACGCGCATGAGCTCATGAGGCCGAGCGATGCCAGCGAGGTCTACCTGGACGACGAGCCGGTGAGCCATCTGCCAGTTGTCAAAAAGGAAACGAGCGTGTAGCGTGCGCAACAGGTCGCCCCGTGGTCGTACGACACGGTATACATTGATATATTTTCAAGCGTAATTTCATAGACTGCATACAAACGAAGAGACTAGCGTTTTGCGACTTGCGCGTTCGCCGCTTACCTCTGCTCTCTGTTTCCTGCGGCAGTGTCGGCTGTTGGTTAAGATCTTGGTCGTCTAAAGTAATTCAACTTGGCGTCGGGAGAACCGCGATTGACTGTTGCTTCGGTCCCGGTTGCTTTGATTGTATGCTAGTTAGTCGTTGAGTCTGGTTAGTCTGTTAGAGTCAAGAAGCTTTACTTCACTAAAAACGTTATTGATAAAATTGATTAAATTTAGGCGATGTTACGAACGTGTTATCATTGGATTTATTGTATTGTAAAAACTATGTATAGGCTCTTACATGTCCTTTATGTTCTCGTTTGATTTATCATAGATAGAGCATTTTCTTGACTCATTAATTTGAATGCTCCATAATTACGTACATAACGATTCATTTTAATTATTGATTATTTTAGCTGATTAAGATTTTAGTCGATCAATGACTGACACTGTCCTGTATACAACGAGTCATAAATGCTTGGTCGTTTCTTAGATTGAGAATGTCTGCGATTCTCAGTCTTGTGCTCGTATGTGTAACATAGATGAAAATCGCACGTTCAACGTCATACCTGCTTGATCTCGTTGTAATTAACACCAACTTACATGATTTTCAACATTTAATTTTAAATATATATAAATATAAATATATGATCAGTTAATTGAGATATATATAACAAATTTTATATATATATATATATACAGAGTGTTTGATAGCTGATCATGTAGACGAAAGTTGGAGATAGATTGGGTGTAGCCGAGAAGAAAAGTCATGTACCATAATGTCAAATTGGCAATAGTTATCGAGTTATTAATTAAAACATGTGAGCCAACGAGCGCGTAGAGAGCGGAGGGCGACCGCAGTAAGCACATAGACATTTGATATAGGCGAAGTCAACGAGTGGTGGTAGGCGAGCGCGCGCGGCGAGAGGCAACGTAAACAACAAGAGACGAACGCGCACGACGAGGAGCGAGCGAGCGCGAACGACGAGGAGCGAGCGAGCGCGACGAAGAGCGAGCGAGCGCGACGAAGAGCGAGCGAGCGCTTGTTGGCTCACATATTTTAATTAATAACTCGGTAACTATTGCCAATTTGACATTATGGTACATGACTTTTCTCCTCGGCTACACCCAATCTATCTCCAACTTTCGTCTGCATGATCAGCTATCAAACACCCTGTGTATATATATATATATATATATATATATATATATAATAGAAATAATTTGTTTCCTAAAATTTTCTAAAATTATGTACAGGTCCAAAAATTACATACTCGCGATATAGAGAATGGCCAAGCGTTTGTGATTCTCTGTGTATGCCACATATTTCATAGCGTTTTATATTTTTCGTTCGAGAACGGAAGAGAGGCATCGCGATGCTTCTAATACTATTTATAACGTGTCTAGGAATGCACGATTATTTAAAGAATTGTACATAGTGAACATTTAGTGTTCATATATACGAAGTATCCTTAACCGAATTCGACGGTTGATTTGAACCAAGCATAATCACGTGACTAAAGCCAAAAATTGCGTGAAAATGTCGCGAGTTCGATGTTCTTTTCGGATAGAAGAAGAAGCAGAAGCTGAGCACGTTGAAATGTTCACTACCGTTTCGGAACTTTGTTATCCATCGTATCATTTACCGCACGCCAAACAATTCACGTTCAACTCATCACGTGGCGACGTGAGGCTGACTGTAAGATCATTTTGGCTGTGAATCGTCCATTTCTTTACAATGTCACCGGCGAAGACCCATCCGACGATCGTCGCATTGTCCGCAATATTTTGCAACGCCATAGTGTGTCGTTCTCCGCGTCATTTCCCGAGCGTTCCTGTACTTTCACGGCATCTCTAAGATGAATACGGTATTGCATCTCATCTTGTGAAGATGATACTCTCGCTTTGTGTATAGTTGCCTGAAGCAAACCGACAGATAGAAATGGAATCTCTGTAAAACCGAAGACTGAATATTAAGGAAGAATTTATAATCTGCGGAACTGGCGAGGGGAGAAGCTCGATGGAGGTCCGCCGAGGGCAGCGTCACTCTTGCTCCTCTTGTGGGTTTGCGACTACCATTGACCTTTCGCATAAGTGCGTATGCTTGTAATATTTTTATCGTGCGGAAAGTTCTTCGCAGCCACGATACGCAATACTATATTGTAAATAACATTCGATTGCGTTTTTTCAAGACGAACAAAGATAATTCGCGTTAAGCACGTTGCAGTAGAGAGCTTTCAGAGACTTTGTACTAATTTTTCATCACTGTATTATTTTTACTTTTATATGCTGATTTCCCCTTCGAAATTATGAAATTTTAATATACATATATATATATATATAAAATAAGATTGTACAAGTTACTACTAATTATATATGTATATTGTATAAGACCGATGTTTATTCTCTATCACCGTCTGCAACATACCTGTACAACGTTCAACACTTTATGAAAGCGTCTTTATTATCTAAACCTTGAAGCCCGAACAGAATATGTTTCCAATGTAACAAAAAGAGAGTTTCAGTTCAATTTTCATTTCATGTAACTTCAACTTTCATAGAAATTTGAATTCAATCCAAAACCGCAGACTTCCAATTCATAAACGCGCTCTCACCAAACTGCCTCGTTGTCTTTTGAGACTTCCGCGATTAATTGCTAAGTAATTGTACTTCTTCATTGTTACGTTACTTCGCAATATCCATCGGTCGTCGGATACCTCGAAATCGCAATTCCTCTACGCTCGCGCGTCGGCCAGCCAGTCTCTCGGATTCCTGAGCACCTCCAGAAGCTGCGACTCCTTGGAGCCAGCCTCCGGTTCGTGCATGTACTCCCACTTGGCGTTCAACGGCAGGGACATGAGTATACTCTCGTACCTGGCGCCGGGCGTGTACAGGCCGAACTTGGTGCCGCGATCATAGATCAAGTTGAACTCGACGTATCTGCCGCGCCGCAACAGCTGCCATTGTCTCTCGCGGTAGCCATATCCGTCATCCTTGTGCTTCTTCACCAAGGGGATGTATGAAGGGATGACCGCCTCAGCGCACGAAGTCACAAACTGGAACGCCTCGTTCTGGCTCGGCGTATCGAGGTCGTCGAAGAAGATGCCGCCCACGCCGCGCCGTTCATCCCGGTGCACGATGTTAAAGTAATTGTCGCACCATTCTTTGAACGTCGCGTAGTATGATGGGTCGTGCTTGTCGCACGCCGCCTTCAGCGCCTTGTGAAAGTGCCGGGCGTCTTCATCGTCTAGGTAATACGGAGTAAGGTCGGTACCGCCTCCGAACCACCACTTGGTGGAGCCGTCCTGATTCTCCACCTCGAAGTAGCGGTAGTTGAAGTGAATTGTCGGGATCATCGGGTTGCGCGGGTGAATCACGGCGCTCACGCCAGCCGCAAAGAACGGTACTGAATCTTGGTCCATCTTCTTGCCGCGCGCCCTCATCTGCTGGACAGCACCTGGTGGCAACGTGCCTGTTACTACAGATACGTTGACGCCGGCTTTCTCGAACACCTGCCCATCCTGCAATACACAAGTGACACCGCCACCGCCCTCCTGCCTACTCCAGCGGTCCACTCTGAAGGACCCGTCGCTCTCCAGCGATTCCAGGGCTCTGCAGAAATCTGCCTGGGTCTTCATCACCAACAGTTCCATTTTTGTTCTCATGCTATTCTGGTTCTTCCGCAGCTTCTCGACATCTGTCACGGGTTTTGACATGAAAGTTTGGATATAACTATCCAGATTGTTCTGTGCTGCCAAAACTGTAATATTAGATGCATTGTACGCTGCGAGACCTGTCATGATACCAGCCCCGATGTACTTTAAATGCCTTGATCTGCTCCATGTTCCATAGCAGTTAAAAGTAACAGAACATAGGTTCTTGAAATTCCTTAAAATAGACCTCGCAACCATTATTCTTTATTATCAAGTCGATCTGTAATAAATTTTAAAATCTTTAAAATCTTTTCTATGATATCTCACAAGATATCCCTACAACTTAGCTCAAAGCTTCTTCTTTGTTTCGATATATTAAGATGAGTCAGAGTGCATAATTAAATATATAAATATATAAATAAATAATATTTGACTAGTAATATTTAAATAATAATATTTACGTTTATATAAAATAGAATAGAGTACAACAAATATATTGCATACCTTGTTTTTGTATGTATATTTACAATATCTATTCCAATTATAATTGTTATAAAAATCCTTTGTATTTAAATCTCTTATTTTTGGCACTGCTAAGAGTATGCTTATTTCCACGAAGTATATCTAAATTCACAACTTAGAAATATAACATTTCTAACAATAGTAAAAAAATAATTAATAAGGTTAGGAAATATCCGTTGAGGTTCAGCTGAGTTCGGTATATGGCTTTAGGTAGAAGGGTGTACCCATACGCCATTCTCCATCCGTTGAGATTATAGACATAGGAATATAGAGACAGAGCATAAAGCTAAGACTCCATGCATGCGGTGAGCTCCGGCAAACGGCTGTGGTGACCAATCAGGAAACAGACGCATGCCGGAGCTTGCCGCAACCGGACTTGCGCCTCCCTCCTGATTGGTCATCGCAGCATTTGCCGCAGCTCACCGCATGCATGGAGTCTTAGCTTAAGCCTGTAACATTGACGAGGGGAGTTGTGCTGAAATGCGAGGGGCGACTGTGCCTAAATTTCATTGGCTACAATACTGCGCATATTCAGAACGTGTGATGCAACGACTTGACTGTCACTGGCAAATAGTAAATGTAACAAAATGATAACAACTATTTATACTGACAGTATTTTGCAGTTATGCATGTGTCTTTTTTTTCATAATTTCACTCACACACAACTTCATACACATCTATATATAGGCCTGTTCGTTTTGTCTGCACTGCTGAACTGGTGCAATAAGTTAAAGTGAGAACAAACGTAGGTTTTCTCACTTTAACTTGTTGCACCAGTTCAACAGTGCAGACAAAACGAACAGGCCTTATGTATCAAATACTTAAGCCAGCGGCACACGGTGCCTGTTTTCGTGCTGGATTGCTTGCTGGATGAAATTACTGCGTTCTGATTGGTGCATTTCCATCCATCTTCGGAAAAATACCAATCAGAACGCAGTATTTTCATCCAGCAAGCAATCCAGCACGAAAACAAGCACCGTGTGCCGTTGGCTTTACACACAGCACAACCACCAATTAGATTTAGGCACAGTTTACCTCGTCGCACCGTTCCGCAATGGTTATCACCCCGCAACTCTGTGCTCTGTCCTTATATTGCTATGGGCAAGAGTACACTCGTGAACTAAAAGGTATGTGCACCGATTTTTTGTTGACTTCGGAACGCGCTCCAACTTGAGGGGAAAGACAACCACTGCTTCATACGTCAGCCTTGTCACTTATTACGAGGCAGAAGGATGGCATATACGAGTGTCAAATAAGTAGTGATTGTGGCGTAGATATAAATGTCTTGGAGACTTTGAGTTATAATTGAAGAAATGAAGAAAACAAATAGTGATTGTGAAGAAAAGTGGCAAAAGGCTTCATAAAATTTGTAAAACAGCGTATTAAAGGAGAGTATTAATTGTCTAATAATATTTTAAGCGAAAAATATTTTTAAATTTGAGTGTAAGTTAAAAAAGTTATAAACCATAATTTCTTTAATGTTAATAAATTTGTCATCGACGTTGAATGAATATATATAATGCTATTATTTCCATAGGTGAGGAATTATATTATTGTGTTCAGTAAAAATAAGCAGCAGACCAAGTTGAGTGATATGAGTATCTTGTTAAAAAAATATCACTCGACTTGGTCTGCTGCTTATTTTTTATGAGCGCAATAACATAATTTTCCACCTATGTAAATGATAGCATTATATATATATTCATTTAACGTCGATGGCAAATTTATAGCTATAAAATTATTAACATTAAAGAAATTATGATTTATAATTTTTTTAACTTACACTCAAATTTAAAAATATTTTTCACTTAAAATATTATTAGACAATTAATATTCTCCTTTAATATGCTGTTTTACAAATTTTGTGAAGCCTTTTGCCACTTTTCTTTACAATCACTATTTGTTTTCTTCATTTTTTCAATTATAACTCAAAGTGTCCAAGACATTTGTGTCTACGCCACAATCACTACTTATTTGACACTCGTATATGCCATCCTTCTGCCTCGTAATAAGTGACAGCGCTGACGTATGAAGCAATGGTTGTCTTTCTCCTCAAGTTGGAGCGCGTTCCGAAGTCAACAAAAAATCGGTGCACATACCTTTTAGTTCACGAGTGTACAGGCTTTTGCATAACACATAATACATAACGCATAAGAGAATAAACCAATTAGTTTTCTTCATTCCCTCCTCAAGACAGAAATGAAGAACTCTGATTGGTTGATTCTCTTATGCGTTGTGTATTATGCGTTATGCAGAAGTCTGTGCTCTGGCCCTATGTCTATGGTATACGGACTACGAAGGAACGTGGAATTAAACAAGTTTGATTTGTAGGTTTCGAGTGGCAGGCGATTAACAAACACAGGGAGAAGGTTACAATTGTTAAGATTAATTTGCTAAGATTGGCAAGTCCTAAACCAGGAGATATAGTAATTGATTCTATGTGTGGTAGTGGATCTATTCCTATAGAGGTGTGCGCATTTGCGATAATAGATTAATCGTTCTTGAATGCTAATTTTGAATGTAAATTTTAGGCAACATTAGCTTGCTCTCATTTATGCATTCTATGTGGCGATAAAAATTCTAAAGTTCTGGAGAGAACAAAGTCTCATATAGATGGTTCAGGAACTGCAGCCAGAATAAATCCCGTGCAATGGCTGGCTTTAAATTTGCCACTCAGATTCGTTTGTTGACGTTATTGTTACTGATATGGCATAAGCCTTTTTTTTACAAATTTCATGTTAGATGCTTAGTTATGTTTAAATATTTTCGTTTTCTCTAAACAAAGTTATTTACTTACTGTAGCTTTTTGGCAAGAGAAGTGGAAAGAAGTCAAATAACGAACGTCTTTACGAACAATTTTTACTGGAACTTGGCTGAGTGGTAAAATTACAGTCTGGATGATTGGTTCTACTTACTCATGACAAAAGAAGTTTCAATTATATAAGTTATTGACCAAACAATTCCTGATTAATTTATCCAAATGAAGTGAAATATAACTCAGATCATTAATATAAATTTTTATTTCAGGATTACAGTGAATTTTATTTAAATTTTATTAAAAATAACTTGTTTTATTACAATTTTGATGTGAGTTCTATTTTATTTCAAGCCTTCTGGACAGCAGGTGATTTGTTCCAGTTAATGAGAGCAGTTAGTGTGAAGATAGGTCTTCAAGTTATAGCCTATGTTTTGAAACGAACAAATATGCCCCTCACATCCTTTAAACCATGATATTATTAATGGACAGAACTTTTAAAATGAATAGACCAATGAGGTATCTTTTATTTTCACAAGTGTTATGAAATATATATATATATATATATATATATATTGATATAACATTTTTATATAAGAGTTAATATAGTTTATTTGTACATTTATACAACATAATTGTATGATTGATTCCTTTCCTGACCACCTGACCTCATCTGATCTGACTGAAATAGTATCATATCTTGCAGGATATGTATAACAATACAGGGAAATTATAAGAAAAACTTTCTTCTGCTAGTCTCCATATCATGCCTCCGGCCTTGTATAATCCATTCGTAATCACCATATTTACTGTCAAATGTTCCATGTTGCAGTGATTTTAATCTCAGAGTAAATCGTGGACCCAATTCACGCAATCTTGGTTTTCCATTTTTAAGATTAAATTCGTACCTATATAGTCATCAGCATAAGATTAAAATATGAGTTTGTTTTAGTATAAGAAATCTTAAAGGTAAAAAATAAATAATTCAATGTTACCTATGATGTCTGAAAAATATATAATCTCTCTGATTGTGAAATGTTACGACTCTTCTTCCTTTGAATTGTGGTTGATAGTGAAATAATGCACCAAGCATTCTGGCAACAGTGAAACCTAGACGTGTAGTGAAATTATTTATAATAACTTCTGGTCTATGTTCTGTGATTTCCTTGTGACTACGCTTCAATTCTGTTGTGATCTTAACATTACTGAGCTTAAAGTGTGCAGTAGGACCATCCGGAAGATGTATCACCAACATTCCATCTAATAATTGTATAAGAAAATACGTTTACTCTAAGTAATACTTTAAGTAATATATATGATATATGTATATATTGTGGTTATATAAAATATATTTGAATTATTTAATTTGATTTATATATGAAAAGAAGATGCTTTCTTTCTCTCTTACTAGGTTTGCATTGATCCTCATTGACGATTATTATGTCTGTAAAATTCTTGGTGATGGCACTCCTCACTATTTTCTTAACGCCGGAACGATTTCTGTATAAAGAAATAGAGTTCGGTATCATCCTTGTGAGCTCCCTGCCGAAAATTCGTGTTTTCCTGTTCGGATTATCGGCGTAAGTGATAAGAACTTTAGGTTCGTAATCCTGCCGGTAATACGCAGCGAATTCGTCATTTTGACACTCGACTTTGAGCTCCAAGTTGTCGGCATCTTCCAAATCACCTACGATCGTAGTCTCATCCTTTTCTCGTAAACTCTCTAAAGTGTGAGGTATTTGTTTCGGACGGCCCTCCTGTATCCTCGCTTTTCTCACTTTGTTCGGAAATGTGTGGGCAGCGACGTTCTGTCGCGTTGCCGCAGCCTGCATCCTGTTAGAGTCGTTGATCCGGTACTGCATGGCGGACGGCAGAGAGAAGCTTGAGAACGGGCATGGCTGTATTTACAGCGTTATGGAAAAGTTGGCTGATTCGAGCGCCAACTGGGTCCAATTTTCATGGACATAAACTACTCAGCCAATGTCCACGATTTGTTGGTACTATTCCGTGCTATGTCCATAATTATTTGGTTCTGTTCTGTGCTATGTTCACGAGCGAGCTAGATTAGTTAGATAAAAACGAAGAATCGGTCTTTGTCTCACCAGCAGCGAATACAATCGCAATTATATATATATATATATAATAATAATACAATTACATATGTAATTATAAGTAATATAAAAGTCATGACAAATTAATGTGGCCGCGTGTTATCTCTGTCGCGTCATTGCTAGAAATCGTCCGAACTCTCGAAATTATTTTCTTCCCGAATTATGAATATAAAACAATGTGGAAAGGAAAACAAGGGGGTGAAATGGGGAATGGCGACGTCTGCCTTACGATAACATCGCTGCTAGCTCGCTTCGTCGCGATTGTATTCACTGCTGGTGAGACAAAGACCGTTTCTTCGTTTTTATCTAACTAATCTAGCTCACTCGTGAACATAGCACAGAACAGAACCAAATAATTATAGACATAGCACGGAATAGTACCAACAAATCGTGGACATTGGCTGAGTAGTTCATGTCCATGAAAATTGGACCCAGTTGGCGCTTCGAATCAACCAACTTTTCCATAACGCTGTAAATGCAGCCATGCCCGCTCTCAGGCTTCTCTCTGCTTACGGGCTTATGCTCTGTCTCTATATTCCTATGTCTATGGCTGAAGTAGATATTTGGAATGACAGCCATGCTGTTCGTTTTAGTTACACTATCTGCACTTCTCTGTATTTATTTCCTAGACGTTCCCAGAGGTGTGGAACACATTCAAGTGAAATTAAACAAGAACTCTTTTAAATAAAACATGTGTGCACGAATCTTAAAATATAATTTTGAAAAGTTAGAATGGATATTTATAATTTTAAAAGAAATTGTTTAAACCATTCAGATCGAAGATCTTTCTGATATTATGGCACTTTTTATTTCTGAGTATTGCTTCAGCTATATAATATGAAACTCTATATTTATTTCTTAATCACATATTAGAAGATTTAACTCAAGCACCATTGTCAGAAGTAGTTCAAGCAGAAGAGATGATTAGCTTTAATATAATTTAATGTAAATACAAATAATAACCATTTAATATATATATACATATACATATATATGAGTGTATATGCTACTTTATATATTTAGGTACTGCGTTTATTATATGAGGCAGATATTTATGTTTAATGGTGTTCTCATCAAAGTATGTGTTATATTTTTTCCATTTTCTTCTATGTGAGAGATCTTTTTTACTTCTTTCAGGAGCTAATATTGGCATCAGACCTAAGAAAAAATGAAGAGAAATGAATCTGTCACAACTTATTTTGATTGATAAATAAATAAATAAATATATGTAACAATGAATATTTACAAATATTTACAAACCTGCTTTATGAGCCATAGACACCATAATACCAATTCTTTTCTGTTGTATTTTACATAGACCAGTTATTCTGCGTGGCAACATGCAACCGTCGGATCGTACAAACTGACTCAGAATAAGAACATCCTGAAAAAACAAAAAACAGCTTCAGATTTAACAGACTTAATAGATTTAACATTACTGCATAAATCGTTATAGAACTTACTGTGTGTTTAACATCAAGTTTTGTAGCACAAATAGGACAAGCTTTTGATTTCAGTTTCAATTGCCGATGTGCATTTTTATCTGATACACTTACACCCTCGATGGTTAATGTATTACCTTCCTTCTTTGTTACAACTATGATAAAAAATTAAATATAAACTTAACATTATAATATGGAAATGCAGGTTAGAATCATTTATGATTGTGTTTTGATATTTGATACGTTTAATGGTAATTTTTAATAACAATCTTACTTTCTCTTAAATGCGCGGTTGCAGATAACGATATACCCCTGTTAGGTTCAGGAAAAATTAGATTTTTCCTAAATTGTCCAAGAAATCGATATAACAGTGCCATTATTGCAAAATATATAAGATTTGAAGTTTGCTCGTTCTAGAGCCACTTTTATCAAGATCCGATTAAACTAAAGCGAGGTCTACAATAGAAGTTATAGGGCGCATTCACACCTGGGCAGAAAAACAGAAAGCAGGAAGGCAGCAGCCAATCAAAATTGACGTCAAAATTGATAGTCTGTCTCTCTTGCTAGAGTTTTTCTCTGTCACTTTCTCTTCCTTTTCTGCCAAAGTATGAATGCGCCCTAAAGCCCAATCCTTTTCTTTTAACATGAACTCGTGAAAAGTGAAAATTTTCTAATGCAAAAACATATGGAAATGTTCACTTTTCACGAGTTCATGCTAGAGGAAAAGATTCATGATTGATGCCCAGAATAGGTTGCAAACACCCAGTTGCGAGTTGCGAAGAATGGCAACTACTAATTATAAAGTGTTAAGCCAGCGGCACACGATGCTTGTTTTCGTGCTGGATTGCTTGCTGGATGAAAATACTGCGTTCTGATTGGTGCATTTCCGAAGATGGATGGAAATGCACCAATCAGAACGCAGTATTTTCATCCAGCAAGCAATCCAGCACGAAAACAAGCACCGTGTGCCGTTGGCTTTATTTTCGATCGTAAAACAGTTCTAATTGTTAAAAGAGAATTGCCCAACTTTTAACTTCTTGGCGACGGCACCGACAATCCCAACTGTTTCTTACAACCGAAAATAGCACTTTGTAACAAGTAGTTGCCATCCCTTCGCAACTCACAACTGGGTGTTTACAACCTATTCGACCGGGCTTAAAGCATTAGGCCTGTTCGTTTTGTCTACATTCCTGAACTGGTGCATTAAGTTAAAGTGAGACAAACATAGGTTTTCTCACTTCAACTTGTTGCACCAGTTCAGCAGTGCAGACAAAACGAACAGGCCTCTTGTGTCCACCAGAGAGGAACGTGAGAGCGACCAACATGATGTTTTCAACGACATCGATTTTCCGCACTAGGAAAGGACGTTATCTGCATCCATTTTGAGAGAAGAACTACGATGCTACATCCACTTTCAGGTTTCGGCGGTAAAACCTGTATGTGATGGCAGTCCGTGCTACATAGATTTTTAGGCGGTTTATGTCCATGCTACGCACATTGTTACGCGTTTATAACATGAATTAACATGTTAACATGTGCAACAAAAAAAGAATTGACATTGTGTATGATTAATATCATGAAGATCATACGAAGTGTCCGGCAATTAGCTGCCAACCCGAAGTGTGAGGGTAGATTGGGTTAAGACAAACATAAAAGTCCCATGACATTTTGCGAGATTCGCAATAATTATCGAGTTATTAATAACAGAAATCTGAGGAGTAAAAGCGCGCCGACATAGATGATTCGAAAAGCGTTGCAGCTGCTCGGGGCAGCGATCATGAATCTTTTCCCTATCGTGAATAAAAAGTGAAAGACTTCTGTGAATCAATAAAAAATGAAAAATTTTATATGAATTTGTGAAAATCGAAACATTTCACACGACAATTGAGTCGTTCAATATGGCAGTTGCGCGTTCTGGATAATTTAATGAATACCAAAGAAATCAAAATGATCAAAATAATAATGTCCGTGTAGTCCGAAGGACTACATTACGTGACACGCAAAATCCGTTTGATATAATATCCAAAGAAAATGTTTCAAAATATGTATGTTTCAAAATATGTGATTGACTTGGAATACTCCGTGCCCACGGTGTTATTCATAGCGACGCATTCATACTTTCCCTGATCTGTTACATCGGATTCAATAATCTGCAAGGCATCTGAAACATAAAATGTGATATTCTCGAACAGCGTTCCTCTTAGGATTTTCTTGTCCAAAGAAAGATCAATGATGTGATCGCAGATCTCGTGTATGTCATGTCAACAGAAACAGTTTGAATGCGGAGTAATATGATTCTTGGAACAGACGTAAATAAGTATTGTGAAGTTTGAAGCGAGTCTCTCACAGGCATGCTTTGAAAACACGGGTTGTTTTCATTTTCAGCTAACGGACGACGCAGGCATCAACACTGATCGGCAAGGTGGGAGGTACCGTGCCTTCTCGATTGTTTGGTTTCGCACGCTTATATATGACTTCGTGATTGCGGAAAGGATATTGCGCCTCGGGCCGACGAACGACGCGCATACCGCGACGCAGAGTACGAGTGTCGGTAGTCGTATCGGTTAATACGCTTTTCTTTGTCCGAATCTTAATTGCGCGAGTGTTAGAACTAGAGTCAGTGTCGTCGCCAGTGCTACGATGGAATATCCGGGAGTGCTGCGACGGAATAACCAGAAGGAGGACGTCGGATCGAGAAGTCAGGATGGAGAGAGGACTTGGAGCGCGCCGAGAGACGTGGACAGCGATACATCATGTATGGTATTCGAGGTACCGCGAGTCATTATTATTACGCAGGATTTTTCTGATTTTAACGGATCTATAAGGACATACCCGAGTCGAAATTAGATCAACATTCATAGTTTATCATTTGAAAAATGATAAAATAGCTTGAGATTTGATTATTCGTTAACCTAATTTCACGTAACATGAGTTCTACTTTTCCTTTCTCATAAAATATGAATGTCTATTCAAGCAATGTTGCTGAGGCAAGCTAAGGTTTTATGAATTTTTAATTATGTTCTCAATAAAAAGTTGCACATAATTTAGAAAACTATGAATAATGATCTTAGAATTTGATATAAATTTTACAAGTGTTGATTTTTATTCGTCTAATAATGCTCAGATTGCTGTTTTCGTCTAGAATCTGCTAGAATGTCCGTTTCTCATTCTTGTTTATCTTTCTTATTGTACCGAATCTGAATTAAAAACTCTATTAGTGAAACAGCATTATTAGACATAACCGTTGTCTTTGCCTTTGCAGCTTCAGCTCTTTTGAGAGCTACAATTCTCATCATTCTCATTAGAAAAAAGAAAAGAAAAAAAAGAGAAGAAAAAAGGAAAAAAAGAACTTTAAGAATGATGAGAATAAAAAGTGTTTTTCATCCCCCTCCCATTTCCTCTAATTCTTATATGATTATTTAATCCTTATATATTTATCTCACGCGCAGTTCTAACAAAGGCAGTTCTATTTACGTTTTTATCTTTGGTCTCTTTCTTGCGCTGTTAAGCGAATATATAATCAACATCAACAAAAATTGCTCATTTAAATTAAGAATATAAGGATTAAGTACATATACATTATCAAGATAAACGAGTATTAAATAACTGCGGAATACGTCGCTGTGGAAGACTCATCATGAGCGAGACTGCGAGAGTAGCCAGATGTAACGTTCAGGTAGGACAAAACTTGTTCACTATTGCGCATCTAGATATTCTGCATTGATTTTTCAAATTGGATGCAATTTGCAAGATCAATGTAGAATTAATATTTCGACTCGGGAAAGACTTTTTTTATCAAATCCTAACTTGTAGAAAACTATCGATTTGAATGTCGGCAAGAAAAAAACGGAGATACTTTTGTTAGATATTTGACAAAACGCCGGATCGGTATTTATCCGACGCTTAAAAAATAACACGGTTTTAGTTGGATGAATAAATTTTCGTTACTTTCCGCTTCCGGTTTTCGATCGTTAGCGGCGATTCAGAGACGAAGAGAGAGAGGAGAGCGAGAAAGCGAGAGAAACGTCTTGCCAGGATTTCTGCAGACCGGTTCATTTCGACAGATTCGGTATTAAAATATTAGACGTAGAAAAAAATTTTTTATATTAGTTAGTACAGAAAGTCCGACGTACTTTTATCAAATAGAGATGAGTACCAAATTTTCGACAAGTTAGGACTAGGATAGAGAAAACGTCAAATATTTTGCGACGATGGAATTAAACAGCAATATAAATTTTAATTTACGATATTAATCGATATTCGATTTCCGGTACTGATTTAATTTCTCATTTCTCTATAAGACAAGAAAAATTCATACGAATCATTCATTTATTCGAGTTAATTTGTTGAGTAAATTAAAGGGATAAATAAGAACTGAACCTGAAAAATAAGAACAAATTGTCATTGTACTTAGACAATTTTCTGAGACTGATTTACGGTATTGATCGATATTCGATTTTCGGTACTGATTTATTCTTTCATTTCACTATAAGAAAAAAAATTCATACGAATCGTTCATTTATCCGCATTAATTTGATGAATAAATTAAATATTGATTGGTCTTCAATTTTCGGTACTGACTGATTCTCTAATTTCTTTATAAAAGAATAAAAATTGATACGAATCATTCGTTTATTCGAGTTAATTTGTTGAGTAAATTAGAGGGATAAATACCTGAAAAATGAGAACAAATTGTCATTGTACTTGGACAATTTTCTGACACTGATTTATGGTATTGATCGATATTCCATTTTCGGTACTGATTTACTCTTTCATTTCTCCATAAGAAAAAAAAATTCATACGAATCGTTCATTTATCCGCATTAATTAGATGAATAAATCAAATATTGATCGGTCTTCAATTTTCGGTACTGACTGATTCTCTAATTTCTTTATAAGAGAATAAAAATTGATACGAATCGTTCTTTTATCCGACTTAATTTGTTGAGTAAATTAGTGGGGTAAGTACCTGCAAGATGAAAATAACTTATCATTGCACTTGGACAATTTTCTTGACATTGATTTGTGGTATTGATCAGTCTTCGGTTTTCGGTACTGATTTATTTTCTCATTTCTTTATAAGACAAAAAAATTGATACGAATCGTTCGTTTATCCGAGTTAATTTGTTGAATAAGATTAGAGAGGGAAATACTTGAAAAATGAGAACAAATTTTCATTGCACTTGGACAATTTTTTGACAGTGATTTATAGTATTAATCGATATTCGATTTTCGGTACTGATTTACTCTTTCATTTCTCTATAAGAAAAAGAAATTCATACGAATCGTTCATTTATCCGCGTTAATTTGATGAATAAATTAAATATTGATCGGTCTTCAATTTTCGGTCCTGACTGATTCTCTAATTTCTTTATAAGAGAATGAAAATTGATACGAATTATTCTTTTATCCAACTTAATTTGTAAATTAGTGGGGTAAGTAATTGCAAGATGAAAACAACTTGTCATTGCACTTAGACGATTATCTAACGCTGATTTATAGTATTGATCAATATCCGGTTTTCGATACTGATTTAGTCTTTGATTGCTCTATAAAAGAAAAAAAGATTGACAAATTGTTCATTTATCCGCGTTAATTTGATGAAAAAATTAGATATTAAACGGTCTTCGATTTTCGGTACTGATTTATTTTCTCATTTCTTTATAAGACAAAAAAATTGATACGAATCGTTCGTTTATCCGAGTTAATTATTTGAATAAGATTAGAGGGGTAAGTACCTGAAAAATAAGAACAAATTGTCATTGCACGTGGGCAATTTTTTGACACTCATTTATAGTATTAATTCGGTTTTCGGTACCGATTTACTCTTTCATTTCTCTATAAGAAAACAAAAAATTAATACTAATCATTCATTTATCCGCGTTAATTTGATGAAAAAATTAAGTATTGATCGGTATTCGGTTTTCGGTACTGATTTATTCTGTCATTTCTTTATAAGAAAAGAAAAATTAATACTGATTGTTCGTTTAACCGAGTTAATTTGTTGAGTAAATTAGAGTGGTAAGTACCTGAAAAATGACAACAAATTGTCATTGCACTTGGACAATTTTCTGACACTGATTTATGTTATTAATGGATATTTGGTTTTCGGTACTGATTTACTTTTTCATTTCACTATAAGAAAAAAAAATTCATACGAATCGTTCATTTATCGGCGTTAATTTGATGAATAAGTTTAGAGGGGTAAGTACCTGAAAAATGAGAACAAATTGTCATTGCACTTAGACAATTTTTTTACATTGATTTATGGTATTAATCGATATTCGATTTTCGGTACTGATTTAGTCTTCATTTCTCTATAAGAAAACAGAAGATTAATATGAATCGTCCATTAATCCGCGTTAATTTGATGAATAAATTAAGTATTGATCGGCCTTCGATTTTCGGTACTGATTTACTCTCTCATTTCTTTATAAGAGAAGAAAAATTGGTACGAATTATTTGTTTAATCGTGTCAATTTGTTGTGTAAATTACAGCGGTAACTACCTGAAAAATGAGAGCAAATTGTCATTGGACAATTTTCTGATACTGATTTATGGTATTAATCGGTATTCGATTTTCGATACTGATTTACTCTTTCATTGCTCTATAAGAAAAGGAAAAATTGATACGAATCGTTCATTTATACGCGTTAATTTTTTTTTTATTATATATAAGTGGTCCATTGGACAATTAAATATTCGAATACATGTTGCCGTATCAAAGTCTCCTCTATAATAAACGATTTGACACGTCTGGAGACGCATGATGTATCGTTGCCCGTATCCTATTCCCTTCGTCCTGCTTCCCTGTATAAAATGTCGAATTGAAACGTATTAAAAAGTATTGACATTTTGAATATGTCTGAAATCTGAATCTTTTTGATTCGAAGAAAAGGATTGAAAAGTATTAGTTCCCGTTAAATTTTACTGCGCTAAATGCGAGACGGTCTCTTTCGTCCGGGTGCCTCACCAGGGAAATTTCTCTGGTACGCTAAATCCCATCCATCAAGCCATCAGTTTTTGTAGTATATCACGTCGGTGCATAAGGTTTATATTACCTGTACACACATATTTTGAAACATTTTTTTTGGATATTATATCAAACGGATTTTGCATGTCACGTAATGTAGTCCTTCGGACTACACGGACATTATTATTTTGATCATTTTGATTTCTTTGGTATTCATTGAATTATCCAGAACGCGCAACTGCCATATTGAACGACTCAATTGTCGTGTGAAATGTTTCGATTTTCACAAATTCATATAAAATTTTTCATTTTTCATTGATTCACAGAAGTCTTTCACTTTTTATTAGTTCACGATAGGGAAAAGATTCATGATCGCTGCCCCGAGCAGCTGCAACGCTTTTCGAATCATCTATGTCGGCGCGCTTTTACTCCTCAGATTTCTGTTATTAATAACTCGATAATTATTGCGAATCTCGCAAAATGTCATGGGACTTTTATGTTTGTCTATCTACCTTCATATTTCGGGTTGGCAGCTAATTGCCCGACACTTCGTATGATCTTCATGATATTAATCATACACAATGTCAATTCTTTTTTTGTTGCACATGTTAACAACATGTTAATACATGTTATAAACGCGTAACAATGTGCGAGACCGTGCTTGTCAAGTACGCTATTATGGTTGTAGCACGGACATAAACCGCCTAAAAATCTATGTAGCACGGACTGCCACCACATACAGGTTTTACCGCCGAAACCTGAAAATGGATATAGCATCTTAGTTCCCCTCTCAAAATGGATGTAGATGGCACCCTTTCCCAGTGCGGAAAGTCGATGTCGTCGAAAACATCATGTTGGCCGCTCTCATGTTCCTCTCTGGTGTTCACGATGCTAGATGCTTATGGAGGATTCATACTGCGTCCGATGTCCGACGTACGAAGTCCGACATCCAATAGGAGAACAGCTTTCTAACGGAGAATTCAATTCTCCATTGAAAAGCCGCTCTTCTATTGGATGTCGCACGTCGTATCGGCCGCGGACATAGTGGCCGCGTTCAGTAGAACAAAGTGAATAGAGAGCGCTTAGTGATTATTGTCTGTGATTGGAGCATTCTTTTAGATTCTTTATAGACCCAGAAATATTTACCAATCAGGAGCGAGATTCAATGGAAAATCTAGTAATGTTGTCCAACTGTTGAGTCTGCTGAACGCGGCCAATAATAAGTGCCCGTTTTTTTGTAACTTTCTGAATGCATCCCGACTCGAGAAGAATGATGGAGGGAGGATTCACACTGTGTCCGACGACATCCGACATCCAATAGGAGAACAGCTTTTTAATGGAGAATTCAATTCTCCATTAGAACTTATTGACTTTTGGAAATTTCAAAATCATCAAATTAACAAAAATCAGGGCACTATTGTAATAGTATATTCTTGAGACTAAATAAAGCAAGAAAGTTTAGTACCACTTTTTCTTCCGACAAATAGTTAGCGAGATATCGTAAGTTAAATATTGAGTTATCAAGTTTTCCTCAAATATCTCAAAAAATATTAGACAAATAAAAACATATTTTAGACAAAAGTTGTCCAAATTAACTAGTAAAAAAAGACAATGTAATAAAAAATAAGAATTCCCATTTTAAAAACGCAAGTTGGCCTTCAAATGACCTTGAAATGAATGACCCTGAAAATAAAGGTCAAGATCAATGTCAAGGTCATCATAAGATAGCTCACTTAAATCCCTACAACTTTTAATCAAATCCTTTTTACTTGAAACTTAAATACTGAAAAGTTATTAGGGTGGTCCGTTACTTTTGCGACACCCTGTATAAGAATTATAATGTGAGACTTCTCCTTCATAAAACATAGAAAAGGTTATTTGTATAAGGAATTTATCTTCCTATTCTTCTGTAATATATATATTTTTATTCGTAAGAATAAAAAAGAATAAATTAAAAAAAATAACAAGGCATAAGTAAGCGTGAACACTCAACCTAACAAGTACCAGCACCGCGTCCAATCTGCTGCGTCACATTGTCATTTGGAAGTAACTCTGCAAATGTTGGAATAACAGCGCATACTTAAAATTGCGAAATTTCAATTTGTAATTTCTCCCAAATGCTTGAGTGTTGCATCGTCTCCGGTTAACAGTAACTTTTGCTAGACCTATACCAACCTATACTACATTTCTGCCAAAGCTCGTCAAAATCAGTGACCCCAAGTTTGGCAGTAGCCCTTGTCAGATTATAGCCCAGGGCCTCAATTCTGTACACGCTTACCGACAACTATCGATGTCGTTAACTGTATTGTGCAGCTTTTGTATATCGTAGAAAACCTGCGCAACTCCATTAACGATATCGATAATTGTCGGTAAGCGTGTACAGAATTGAGGCCCAGTGGTGCGATTCTGTAACTCGTTATTGGAGTTAACGACAGTTTCGTTATTGTTGCGCAGCTTTTCTACGGTATACAAAAGCTGCGCAACGATAACGAAAGTGTCGTTAACTCCAATAACGAGTTACAGAATCGCGATATGTAACTGGGGCTGTATTCCGTACTCGTGTACCGATAGTTGTCGGTGTCGTTAGCAGTATTGCGCAGCTTTTTTGTTATATGAAAAACCTGCGCAATGCCGTTAACGACACCGACAATTGTCGATATGCAGGTACGAAATACAACCCCAGAAAGAATTAGCCTCGCTCTCGCGTCGCTGGGCGAGAACGAGAGCGAGAAAGAGGAAAAGATATTCTCGCTCGCGTCGTTGAGCGAATACGAGAGCGAGAAGGAGGGAATGATATCTCTCTGTCGCTCGGCGCGTCGATGAGTGCGTTTAGCGAAGAAAACCGCTCAATGAGCGATCAGTGACTATTGGTCCTTACTGTTAGATTCTTACATTCAGACCAATAACGTTGACGAATTACTCAACCGTTGTGTTTTCTGAACGCAGCCAATGGCCGCGTTCAGTAGACTCAACAGTTGGACAACATTACTAGATTTTCTACTGAATCTCGCTCCTGATTGGTAAATACTTCTGGGTCTATGAAGAATCTAAAAGAATGCTCCAATCACAGACAATAATCACTGAGCGCTCTCTGATCACTTTGTTCTACTGAACGCGGCCAATGATTGCCGAGCACGTGGTCCACACGGATAGACTGAGCCGGCTATGATGCGTGCGTGGTGGGGGAAATCAGAAAAGAGGCGTGGACATTGGCATCGTAGTTCATGTGCACGGTTGTACAGAGGGCGACTTTTTTTTTGGTCGCGCAGGGGAAATCCTCATGGATACCCCCGCCTTTTTGGGAGGTATGTCAAATTATAAAATTTTGTTATTAAATCTTTATATAAATTGTAAATAAATACTCACAGAAAAACATGCCGAAACGGTGCGAAATCGTTAGTTGCCCGAGTGCTGTAGAAGAGGAAAAGCAATACAAGAAGCATCTTTTCGAGTATGTGTAAAAGAAATATACTATGATACATGTTTACAAGAATTTATACTCGAAGATTAAATTACATTAATTTAATATATATGATTTAGATTCCCACGGATAGGAAGCATAGCAGCAAAATGGATTAAAGCAAGCGGAAAGATTAATTGGATACCAAATAAAGCTAGTGCAGTGTGTGAAATACATTTTAAACCTGAATATTTTAACAATACAAAAATACGGAAACGTTTAAAGCCAGATGCAGTACTCACGGAACATTTGCCCTTTAGCTGTATGACAGACGAAAGTAAGATTTCTATATTAATAATATTTACATATTGTTTACTATATGTTTTATATACTGCAAATATTTTATTAGTTTACAAAATTAACCATATATTACAATAAATATATACAAATATATACAAAAATAAAAATGCAATATAAGCAATATAACATATGACACATTAAAACATGAACATGAAACTTAATGTTAATATCTTAATTTAACAATTATAGCAAATGAGATTATTTTTACTGAAGATAGTGGTGATATATACAGAGTATGCGGACAGTTACAAGGTAAAGATCTTGATTTTATATTTATGTAGTTTGACTTCTATTGAAGGTTATTTGATATTTATTTGCAGAGATAGAAGAAACGGAATATATTGCAACAGAAATGGAAGTTACGCAAAACATGAATATTGATATACAAAATGTCACATCCATTCTAGAAATAGGTACATACATACATATATTAATATATATTAATATAAAGTTTAAAAAAATTCAATCCCTTATTTACTGAATACAGATGTTATATGCTGATGTTCTGATTGCATTTGCTGAATGACTTTTATTTTCACAGAGACAAAAAAGGCATTGTTAAATGAAAGTAGGAAACAGAAAGTTTCAGAGGAATTGGAAAACTTAAAAATAAAAATGCAGGAAATGGAAGAAGAAAATAAGAGATTGAAGGCTGACATGGAATGGTCAAGAGAACAGCATGAAAAAGAATTAAAGAGTCAAGCAGATATATTGAGAAATATTTACGAAAAAAAAAAAAAGAAATATCAGGAAAAATTAGTAACCAAAGATAAACAAATAAAAACATTGAAGATACAAGTAACGCGAAAAAATAGCAAACTTAAAGATATGCTAATGATTGAAAAATATGAATGTATTAAATAGTACCTCGTATGACATTTTAAATAATGACTTTGGAGAAACATTATCTCATTTATTTCAAAGTGAAGTGAAAAACATTGCGAAGTCATCTAACGCCAGATGATACAGTGACGAAGTAAAACGGTTTGCTATGACCTTGCATTATCAATCTCCAAAAGCATATAACTTGTAGGTTAGCATTTGTAGATTAGCTTTGTTTCTTTCTCTATTTAACATAGATCATCCCGTGTGACCACGTTGCAGTTATACACAGACCACTTATATTAATTAATTAATTTGATTAAATGAGATTAATAACATTGTGTTCAATTGGAATGTGATCAATCGTACTCACTCTTTTTTTAAACTTGCATTTATTTTCTATTGTAATATATCTAATATTAGTCTTTTGCATGTGACACATAATATATGTTTCGTTTAATGGTTGATGTTAATAATTTACTTATTATATTGCATATACTTTAAATTATACCTATTACTGTCTCATTTCAAACTTCTTTATTCCACAAAAGAACATAATTTACAATATCTAGTAAATCATATTAGACAGAAAGTCTAAATAATTATACTATTAGCATTGTTGTACTCATATTAATGTTAATCGTTTTCTTTCAGAACAGTTCTAATATTGCTGCATCCATCGGCAATTAGAAATTGGAACTCTTCTGTAGATACCTCACCAGGATTTCAAAAACAAGTTCTGGAAGGATTAAAAACCTTATCTGAGCATGATAAAGATTGCAATTTAATGTTCGACATGGTGATCAGACAGCAAGTAATATAGGATGAACATTCCAATCAATTTACTGGATTCTGCGATTACGGTAATAATATAACCTTAGGAAATAGCGAAACTAAAGAGGCTCTAGTATTTTTATTAGTTAGTCTCAACTGTACGTGGAAATGACCTATTGCATATTTTTTCAAGCATGCAATAAGTTCTACAATATTAGCAGAATTAATAAAGACAGCTTTAATCTTAACTGCAGAAGTACAGTTATGTGTTCTTTCTATAATATGTGATGGCGAAAATGTTAATTGCTCTACATTAAGAGAACTAGGATGTAATATTTTTGTATATAACTTCGCACATCTACAAAATTCTTTTTCACATCCAACACTCAATTATAATGTACAGGTTTTGTTAGATGCATGCCATATGCTCAAGTTAGCTAGAAATGCATTTGCTGAATATAAAGACTTCTATAGTGCAGATGGTAAAATTGAATGGAAGTATATTACAGCATTGCATAGTATTCAGCAGAAATTAACATTGAAATTTAAAACTAAGTTAAATGCTCAATGCATCAACTGGCAACAGAACAAAATGAAATGAAAATGAAATATGCTGCCAATACATTAAGTGCTTCTGTTTGCTAATGCAATGAAGTATTTACAACATGAAGATGTAGAAGAACTTAAAGACTGCGAAGCGACAGTAAAGTTTATTAAAACCATAAATTGGTTATTTGATTCCACTTTATAAAAAAGGCATGTTAACTGCGTGAATTTATTTTATGTCGAAGCGTTGAAGCCTCTTTTCCGCGATGCTGATTAACCCTTTCGACTATCTCGATCGGTCACGGCTGCATTCGTGTCGCTCGCAGCTGTCATCGCGAATGACAGCTGAATGACAGTTTTTGTGAGAGAGTGAGAGGTCCACTTTATAAAAAAGGCATGTTAACTGCGTGAATTTATTTTATATCGAAGAGTTGAAGCCTCTTTTCCGCGATGCTGATTAGCCGTCTCGACTGTCTCGATCGGTCACGGCTGCATTCGTGTCGCTCGCAGCTGTCATCGCGGCGAATGACAGCTGAATGACAGTTTTTGTGAGAGAGTGAGAGTGAGAGAGAGAGAGAGAGAGAGAGGGAGAGAGAGAAAGATAGTGAGAGAGGGAGAGAGAGAGCGTGTGAGAGAGAAGAGAATGTGAGAGGGAGAGAGAGTGTGAGAGAGAGAATGGGAGAGGGCGAGAGAGAGGGGGGAGGGGAGGGAGGGGGGAGAGAGGCAGAGAGAGAGGGGGAGGGAGGGGGGAGGGAGAGAGAGAGGGAGGGAGAGAGAGAGAGGAAGGGAGGGAGGGAGAGAGAGAGAGAGAGAGAAAGAGAGAGAGAGAGAAGGTCAATTTAACTATTCATGAAAATCTTGTCAGTTGTATGTTACTATTCAAAGAGTTAGCACTGTGAAAATCATAGCTATCACTATGTTTGATACAGAAGTGAATATGTTATTAATATTAGGTGGATGCCAAAAGAATTATCGGTGTGCAGCAGTAATGTTTTTTAAACGTTATGGGATAAAAAAATTGCACGTGTCATTTTTTAATGTAGAAAAGCGGCTTCGTAAACATGGTAAATTGCGTACAACTCACAATAAAAAAATGACACGTGCGATTTTTTAATCCCATAACGTTCAAAAAACATTACTGCTGCACGCCGATAATTCTTTTGGCATTCACCTAATACTAATAACATATTCACTTCTGTATCAAACATAGTGATAGCTATGATTTTCACGGTGCTAACTTTTTGAGTAGTAACATACAACTGACAAGGTTTTCATGAATAGTTAAATTGATCTCAATGAATGTACGAATGTTAGTTTACGTTTAAATCACCGACGAAAGACAAGGATACGTAATGCTTTTACGTTTCCTGTAGTTTCGAAACTTTACACCGTCTTTTAACAGAAACATCTGACAAAAAATGTTTTGAACAAAATTTACTTGTTTTTTTACCGCAGAACCCAACCATCTAACATTTTATAGGGGGTCCCGTTTGAAATTGCGAAGTTACCCCCAGCCCCACTTTAAGAGGGGCAGGGAATAACTTAATATTTATGTAGTTAGAAAGGCCCCTCGAATACATAAAACTTTCTCATGAACAACTTTTTGATTTGACAAATAGTTTCCGAAATATTCAGCTGTTAAGAGTTATATAGGCCACCCTGTATATTCTTTGAGTTTTCTTTTATAATGCTCTAATCTATCACTACTACTTATTTCTAAAGGTAACTCATTATACATCTTTATTCCTGTGTAGAACAAGCTTTTTTATGCAGTGCTAGTCTGACGAAATTGGATAGCAATATTATTCGCCTGGCATGTTTGTCGTCCGTTAGAAGCATCTACTATTTGTAAATTATTTGTCAAATAATTAGGCAATAAACCTTTCACCGCTATAAAAATAAATATGCACGTATTATAATATAGCCTCTGTCTTATGACATAAAACACAGCGCATTCGGCATATGCTCAACTTTGGTATCACGCTTACACTGCAAAATAACTCGCATAGCCCGATTCCGCGCTACTTGCAATCTGTCCAGCTGTGTTTCTCCCCATTAATCAACAGCGTCGCACAATATTCAAAATGCGGTGCAATAATTGCTTTATATATAGTACATCTACTATACAGCGTTAAATTGCTACCTATCCTATTTAAGAAGCTTGTTTCTTTACCTATTTTTTTCAACATATGATCACAATGTTCTTCTAGTCTTAGCTTACTGTCAATGATTACTCCTAAATATTTTATATTTCCTACTTGCTCTATTGACGACCCATCCATACATTTTACTATAATGTTCGCTTTTAATTCTTTTCTTACACTTTTCACAACCATATATTTTGTCTTGCCCGCATTTAATTTTAGACCATTCACATTCATCCATTCTTCAGCTATATTAAACATCATATTCATTTTTCTTTCAATTTTCTCACAACTTACTCCAGTAATATATAATATGGTATCACCTGCGAACATTTTTATACGTCCTTCTGGACAACTATTAACTATATCGTTTATATATATATATATATATATATATATATATATATATATATATATATATATATATATATATATATATATATATATACAGGGTGTCCCATTTTAATCCGACCGGCTGAATAAAATTCGAGGATATTTTCCAGAAAAAAATGTCAGACAAATGTTGCTCAGTTCTAAGGGGGACATTCGATGCCATCAATAATTTTGACCTCGGGTGAAGAGTTCAAAGTCATTCAAGGTCAACTTTTTTTTCTTAAATGGGAACCCCTATTTTTCACATCGGCAATCGATTCTACGTAAAAAAAAAATGAAACTTGTCTGAAGCATTTTTTCTTATAACGCAAACTAATTTCACTTATTCAGCCTCCAAAATTGAAATTTTCAAACTTTCTGAATTTTTTACTCGAGAATGGTGGAGTTTGGGGGGAAATTGCAGAAGACAAAAAGTTCTTGGAATGCTGCAAGGAATTCACTCGAATTTTCGCATAGTTGATCGTGCACTTTTTTCCACCAATGTTCTACCTGTCAGGAGGTACCTCGAAAAAAGTACACGATCAACTATGCGAAAATTCGAGTGAATTCCTTGCAGCATTCCAAGAACTTTTTGTCTTCTGCAATTTCCCCCCAAACCCCACCATTCTCGAGTAAAAAATTCAGAAAGTTTGAAAATTTCAATTTTGGAAGCTGAATAAGTGAAATTAGTTTGCGTTATAAAAAAAAATGCTTCAGACAAAAGTTTCATTTTTTTTTTACGTAGAATCGATTGCCGATGTGAAAAATAGGGGTTCCCATTTAAGAAAAAAAAGTTGACCTTGAATGACTTTGAACTCTTCACCCGAGGTCAAAATTATTGATGGCATCGAATGTCCCCCTTAGAACTGAGCAACATTTGTCTGACATTTTTTTCTGGAAAATATCCTCGAATTTTATTCAGCCGGCCAGATTAAAATGGGACACCCTGTATATATATATATAAATAACAAAGGTCCCAATACAGAGCCTTGTGGTACCCCATAATCATTCTCTCTTAGACTAGACAGTATGTCACCACAGCGTACTTGCTGTCCTCTATTACACAAGTATGGTTTAAACCATTTCAGAACTATTCCTCTAACTCTATATTGATCCAATTTTCCAACTAGTTGTTGTGGGATCATTAAACGAGACAGTAGTGGCGGTAAAGGTTGTAATAAAAACTTAGTTTTATTTGAGAAAGGAGTCCTATTGACTTGACCCTCTTGCTAGCGCGCTACAGATGTAGTCTCAGAAATAGATACACGTCCAGTTCGGTCGGGCGGTGGTTAAACTCTGCCTTCCTTAGGCAACAGCCTAAGGCCAGTCGATTTATCTAGGTTCGTCGCCGAAGGAATCTGCAAGCTTTGCGGAAGCATTGCGCCACTTGTAACCTTTGTCCATGCAGACAGTGCATTATTTACCTGTTGCCAAATTTTGGACATTTGGAATTTTTGCTGTGTGGCGTGGTGCCTAGCTTGCAGAACGTGCGTCGCAGGCGGATGTGCTTTACATGGCATTTCCAGTAATATAATTAATATATTAATTATAGGTAATTCGTCATGCTCACTTAAGGCAGGACATCCTCCCTTCCTTGGGGAATGAAAACAGCGTTCTCCCAGAACGGCGTTTTCTTCATTGGTACGCTGTTACAATGTGCTTATTATCCCGTGTACAATTATAATATAATTGTTTTTTTTCTTAATCTAACCCACTAATGTAAGTATTTTATTAGAATACCGTTTTACAATACATTTATTTTTATTTTATACTCATACTTGTAAGTTCTCGACAAATTTTAGATGTCGATGGTATTTCTGGTATGGTATGCGCTGGTATTTTTATTTTATTCAGTGCTTTTTTATTTTTACATTTTCTTATTATAATTGCTGCGATAATAATAGTGATTATAATTACGAGTGCGCTCGGTACTGTTGTATATACATATATTATATGTGTATTTAGCGGATTGTAATATTGATTTATATTATCTTATATTTCTGATAATTCGTTTCCTAATTTTGTTAAATTTTCAGGATGCTTTATTACTTTTCTATTTTTTAAACAGAATATTTTGTTATTACTTATTTTTGTAGTCTCGTTGACTGTAGGAAGAGTTAAAATGAAATTTGGCGCGTAGATTTGAATTACTCTTGCTTTAATATGTTCTTGTGTTTGTATGGTGA